GTGTGGGTGTGGGGGTCCCCAGTGTCACTAGGGTGAGGGTGGGCCCAGTGTGTGTGTGGGGGGGTCCCCAGTGTCACCGTGGTGAGGGTGGGTCCAGTGTGTGTGGGGGGTCCCCAGTGTCACCATGGTGAGGGTGGGTCCAGTGTGTGTAAAGGGGTCACCGTGGTGCGGGTGGGCCCAGTGTGTGTGTGTGGGGGGTCCCCAGTGTCACCATGCTGAGGGGGGGTCCAGTGTGTGTGTGGGTGTCCCCAGTGTCACCGGGGTGAGGGGGGCCCAGTGTGTGTGTGGGGGGGTCCCCAGTGTCACTGTGGTGAGGAGGGCCCAATGTGGATATGAGGGGGTCCCCAGTGTCACTGTGGTGAGGGTGGGCCCAGTGTGTGAGTGTGGGTGTCCCCAGTGTCACCAGGGTGCGGGTGGGCCCAGTGTGTGTGAGTGTAGAGGGTTTTGAGCATCAGCGTGGTGTGGGCGGGCCCAGCCCAGCGTTGGTGGCAGGTGAACGATGGGTCCCTGAGTTCAGGGCCCTGTTGTGAACTTAGAATTGTAAGCATTTTCCACGTGGACAAATTGGCATTTATTTCAGATACCGGTTTTCCCTGAAAGCTGTGTTTGACTTTAATCTTGGAAAAGGACAGATGTGAAAACCTGGGCCGGGTCTTGGTGCCCACTAAGACGGTCAGCAGGACTGTCTTGGTGTCTGCCCCATGCCTGTACTGGTCCACATGTGTGAGCCCTGGCTGGCTACTGGGGTGCCGTCAGGGCTACAGAGGGGGTGGCTCTCCCCAGGCCACCCACCAGGCAAGTACGGCATGAGGACACCTCCCTCCAAGGAGGTTGGCCCTGGGTCAGGGCACACGTCAGAGTGACACACGGTTTGGTCGGCTGGGACGCCCTCAGCTGCTGTGCACGGCAGCCCCGTGAGCCACGGGTGGCGCTTCTCCCGATGCTGAACAGACTGGAATGAGAACCCAAACCTACTGTTAGCTGTAAAAATGGTTTGATCAGACCCAGCTTCTGCTAGACCACGAGGAAGGGGAAGCGTCGTGAGCCCCTCGGCTCGGTAGGAGCAGAAACAGATGCGTGTCCTGCACAGAGACCGCACAGCCGCTGTGTTGGTCGGGCGCACACACCCCTGCTGAGACGTGGGCAGCGCTGTTCACGTCACACCTGCCCTGCATCACGGTGCGTTCCACGTGCTTGTTCATCATGTCCCCGAGACGGTAGCCTGCCAGCTGCTCACCCAGTGGACCCTGACCCTAGCTTCCTTCCCCCACTGGCTCAGTGGCGCATGCTTCCTCCACAGATCGCCACCTCCTGGTGGAGCGGGGGCACTGCAGGGCACCACCCTGCCCTCCAGCCCTGCAGGCGTGCCGTCCCTGCTCCTCCACCCAGGCCGGTCCAGGGGACGGGATTCCCGTCCCATCCCATCGTATGTGGCCCCGGCTGCTTTCCCCTTTGCTGCTAACGCTTTGGGACCTTGGCTTCCAGAGGGTGGAGCTCTCGGTCCCCACCCTCTCCCCTGTTCTCCAGACTCCCCAGGGCCAACAGCTTGTGTCCCTGCGGTCTGAGCGCTGTCACGTGCTGGGATGCTGGGCTCTTAGCGCAGGCCAGACCGCCCCTCACCTAGAATCGGGCATAGCACTGCTTCAGGGCCCAAGCAGGGCTCTTGTTGAGCCCGGTCCCCCACACCCTGCTGCTCCCCAGTGTCCATCCTCATAGATGCTCAGGCTTTGGACCCTGACTCCTGTCTCCCTCACGCACCTGCCCCTCAGCATGGGCCCGTGCTGTCCTCACCTGCGGATGGCAGCAGAGCTGTGGCTTACCTGCCATGTGACTGCCTAGACACGTCCACTCCTGAAGGTCAGAGTGACACCCATGCAGGCTCTGGCTGAGGCACAGAGATGCTGCACGTGGACAGCCTCAGGGACTACCAGGTGGGACGTGCCCTGGTGGGCCCGCTTCCCTGGGAGTGACTGCACACCCCCGTGCTCTCACAGTTCGGCTCCACACAGGACAGTGGTTCAGCCGGTGGCCATGGGCTTGGTCACTGCCAGGCTGTGGCCCAGATGTTTCATCTCAGACCCACATGATCCAGCCAGCAGCTGCTCTCAGTTACAAATTGTCATTCTGCTCAGGCGAGGTGGGTGGTTGACGCCATCCTGACGGGTCCAAGGCACAGGTGGCTTTGGCAAGCGCTCAGTTCTGACCGTTTTGGCTCATTTTTCTTTCAGGCCAAGTTGGCAAAGAATTACGGGATGACCCGCATGGATCCGTACTGCCGGATACGCCTGGGGTACGCTGTGTATGAGACCCCAACAGCGCACAATGGTGCCAAGAACCCACGCTGGAACAAGGTCATCCAGTGCACAGTGCCCCCGGGCGTGGACTCCTTCTACCTGGAGATCTTTGATGAGGTAAAGGACATCCACCCTTGAGCCCATGGGGTCCCCTCGCGGGGCCAGGCTGTGCGCGGCCATGTCAGCACCAGAGCATAACGCTGTGGAAGCCATTCCAGGCTTCTGTGGACTGAGGTGCGCCTGTCCATGTGGTGTTTTATACGTCAGGTTAGAGGTACACGGTGCCCAGCCATCCTGAGCAAGGGGAGGCAGGGCCTCTTCAGGTTCTTAAGCAGCGTCCCCGGATACGTCATTACCAACAGCAGCAACACGGATCATTCCATGACACGTGATGTCTGCATGTACACTTGTCCAGGTGCAGACACGTTATTACCAACAGCAGCAACATGGATAATTCCATGACACGTGGTGTCTCCATGTCTACCCGAGGCACACACTCCATTGCTAATAGCAGAAACCTGAGACATTCTGTGACACGTGGTGTCTCCGTGTCTCCCCCAGGCACACAACGCCATTGCTAACAGCAGAAACCTGAGACATTCTGTGACACGTGTCTCCGTGTCTCCCCCAGGCACACAAGCCATTGCTGACAGCAGAAACCTGAGACATTCTGTGACATGTGGTATCTCCGTGTCTCCCCCAGGCACACACGCCATTGCTGACAGCAAAAACCTGAGACATTGTGTGATACGTGGTGTCTCTCTGTCTCCCCCAGGCACACACGCCATAGCTAACAGCAGAAACCTGAGACATTGTGTGACACGTGGTGTCTCCGTGTCTCCCCCAGGCACACACGCCATTGCTAACAGCAGGAACCTGAGACATTGTGTGACACGTGGTGTCTCCGTGTCTCCCCCAGGCACACACGCCATTGCTGACAGCAGAAACCTGAGACATTCTGTGACACATGGTGTCTCCCCCAGGCACACACGCCATTGCTAACAGCAGAAACCTGAGACATTGTGTGACACGTGGTGTCTCCATGTCTCTGCCAGGCACACACGCCATTGCTGACAGAAACCTGAGACATTGTGTGACACGTGGTGTCTCCGTGTCTCCGCCAGGTACACACGCCATTGCTGACAGCAGAAACCTGATTCATTGTGTGGCCGTCAGTGACGGTGGTGATGAGTCCTTGCATATTGCTGCGCCCTCTCCTGCCTTGGGCTGCACTGACCCAAATCGGCTGGAAGCGGGAGACAAGGGGGTGTGGGGGATGGGTGGGACAGGGTGGGGTTGGGACCGAGCTCCATCCTTTCTTCTGTCCATTGCCCCCTGCCCTGTGGTGGTCACAAGTAGCTCGTGCTGAGCAAGAGGATCATGAGGGGTGGGGGTGATGAGGGAGTGAGCATGTGGGTGTACAGGCGCGTGGCCCCGGGTGACAGGTGTGTCTGGATGTGACACAGGGTAGTGCAGGCGTGCGGCCCTGGGGGACAGGTGTGCATGTGGGTGACACAGGGTGAAGCAGGGGTGCAGTCTTGAGGACCGGTGCACATGGGGGTGACAGGGTGGTGTGGGGCTATGGCCCTGGGGGATGGGTGTGCATGGGGTTGACATGGGGTAGTGCAGGGGTGAGGCCCTGTGGGGGATGGGTGTGCGTGGGGGTGACACGTGGGGGTGGCGTGGGGCTGTGGCCTTGGGGGACACATATACACAGCTGACACGGGGTAGTGCAGGGGTGCGGTCCTGGGGAACGGGTGTGCGTGGGGGTGACATGGGGTAGTGCAGGGGTGAGGCCCTGTGGGATGGGTGTGCGTGGGGGTGACACATGGGGGTGGCATGGGGCTGTGGCCTTGGGGGACACATACACAGCTGACAAGGGGTAGTGCAGGGGTGCGGTCCTGGGGAACGGGTGTGCATGGGGTGACACGGGGGGCTGTGGCCCTATGGGATGGATGTGCACAGAGCTGACACGAGGTAGTGCAGCAGCACGTGGGGGTGACACACGGATGTGGCACGAGGCTGTGGCATTGTGGGATGGGTGTGCATATGTGAGGGGCCATGACACTAGGCCCTGCTTGGGGGGCATCGGGAGGCAGCTGGACTGGAGTTGAAAGGGGGCTTATGAAGCTGGGTGGGCAACTCCCTGAAGACACCAGCTAAGTGCTGTGCCCTCCTCAGAGAGCCTTCTCCATGGACGACCGCATCGCCTGGACCCACGTCACCATCCCCGAGTCCCTCAAGCAGGGCCGTGTGGAGGACGAGTGGTACAGCCTCAGTGGGCGGCAGGGCGATGACAAGGAGGGCATGATCAACCTGGTCCTGTCCTACACGGTGAGGCTGGGGCAAAGGCACCTGGGGAGGGGGTGTCCTGTCCTGCACGGTGAGCCCGGGGGTGCAGACACCTGGAGAGGGCTCCCACTGTGGGAAGCGCCACACTGGTGTGCCCAGCACTATGAGGAGTAGTCTGTTTCATGCCCAGCACCTGTCTCGGTCGTTGTGTGAATGGCTTGATTCCCAGCGGGAGGGAGTCTGCGTCAGGTAGTGTTGCCCCACAGCTGTGTTTCCAGACGGCGGCTCCCCTGCGACAGTTCATCCAGCGCACCCGGTTCCTTACAGGGAGATCGGTTCAGGGGGACTTCTCCTTTACCAAGCGGTTCTCACGTTTTATTGCATGTAGAATGCCACCAAAGGAGATGCTGTCCCAGACCTCACTTGTGTGTGTTACTTGTGATTGCTGAGACACGGGTTGGTGTGAGCCTAGAGTGGGTGCACCCCCAGCCCGAGCAGAGCTGAGCCAGCTGGGGGCATCCACAGTGCAGGTGGGCACTGAACAGAGAGAGGCCTCTGCACTCTCAGGGCTCGGTTCCCGGCCTGCACCCCCAAGCCCTTTAAGTGACATTGAGTGACACTGGGAGGGACAAGGTTCTGGGGTTGTGGAGTGTTCTCCTGTGACCTGTGATTGTCTGTTTTAGTCACTGCCGGCTGCCATGATGACGCCGCCACAGCCCGTGGTCCTGCTGCCCACCGTGTACCAGCAGGGTGTCGGCTACGTGCCTATCACAGGTGGGTGACCACCCCTCCGTGAGTATCTCAGACCAAGAGCAGCAAAAGGGGGTGGAGATTCAGCCACTGTGGCCTTTGACCCAGCAGGCCTCTGCTGTTAGGAGCGAGCATGTGCAAGTGTGGACGTCGGGGTTAGAGTCTGCTGTTAGGGGCGAGCATGTGTGAATGTAGACATTGAGGTTAGAGTCTGCTGTTAGGAGTGAGCATGTAGTGTGAGTGTAGACGATGGGGTTAGAGTCCGCTGTTAGGAGCGAGTGTGTGTGAGTGGACGTTGGGGTTAGAGTTTGCTGTTAGGGGTGAGCGTGTAGTGTGAGTGTAGATGTTGGGGTTAGAGTCTGCTGTTAGGGGTAAGCGTGTGTGTGTGAGTGTAGACATCAGGGTTAGAGTCCGCTGTTAGGAGCGAGCGTGTATGAGTGTAGACATCAAGGTTAGAGTCCACAGTTAGGAGTGAGCATGTGTGTGTAAGTGTAGACGTCAGGGTTAGGGTCTGCTATTAGGAGCGAGCGTGTGTGAGTGTAGACGTCAGGGTTAGAGTCCACTGTTGGGGTGAGTGTGTGTGTGTAAGTGTAGATGTCGGGGTTAGAGTCTGCTATTAGGAGTGAGCATGTGTGAATGTAGGCGTCGAGGTTAGAGTCTGCTGTTAGGAGTGAGCATGTAGTGTGAGTGTAGACGTCGGGGTTAGAGTCCACTGTTAGGAGCAAGTGTGTGTGAGTGGATGTCGGGGTTAGAGTTTGCTGTTAGGGGCGAGCATGTGTGTAAGCGTAGACGTTGGGGTTAGAGTCCGCTGTTAGGAGCAAGTGTGTGAGTGCAGATGTTGGGGTTAGAGTCCACTGTTAGGAGTGAGCATGTAGTGTGAGTGTGGACGTCGGGGTTAGAGTCCGCTGTTAGGAGCGAGTGTGTGTGAGTGGACGTCGGGGTTAGAGTCC